AAATCTCCCCCCCAGGGGGCATCAGGGTGGGCAGGACCCCAAATCTTCCACCCAAATGGGCTGGGGAGGGGCAGAACCCCAAAATCTCCAACCCAGGGAGCATCAGGGTGGGAGGGACCCCCAAATCTCCAACCCAGGGAGCATCAGGGTGGGCAGAACCCCAAAATCTCCAACCCAGGGAGCATCTGAGTGGGAGGGACCCCCAAATCTCCAACCCAGGGGGGCCGTGGGCTGAGGGGCAGCCCGGAATTCGGGGGGCTCTGCTCCCGGTGGGGCCGTGCCCATGGAAATTCCCGGCTGTGGCTCGACCACGCCCTGGCTCCCGTGGGTGTTCCATGGATTGTTTTCCACCAGGAGGAGATTAGGGACCGGGGAACAGCCGGAGCAGAGCAAACCCATGACCCAAAACCGCTCGGATCTGGGCACTTCCAGCCTCCTGAACACAATCCTTGTTCCCTGCTGTCCCTGTTTTCCCTGGATGCATCCCAGCCCTCAGCACTGGGGCTCTTTAGCTTTTGGGGGGGACACACAGCCCTGTCCCCACCCTCTCCCAAGCCTGGGAAAACACCCCCAGTCTGGGAAACCTCACCCAGCCAGGAGCCCACGCTGATTTTTCCATGTGTGGTGGTGTTTTTTTTTTTTTAGGGATGAACTATTGTCTCTGGCATCCTGTTTGTCCCGGGCAGGTTTCTGGGGCAGGGAAAAGGGTGCCTGGGATTGGCAGCTGCAGGAATTGCAGGCAGGGGTGGTGCTGCCCTCGCCTCCCACCTGCCCCCCGTGGGCGCTGGCACGGATTTGGGGCAGGAATCTGGATCAGGCACGGGCAGGAACGCCGCAGGGATCCATGTGGGAATGCGGGAAGGGGTGAATAACCCGCTCGGAGATGGCAGGTTTGAACACTGGCCCTGCACTGTGGTTACTTAAGGAGTTTTAAGGGTGGTTTTAGGGGTTGATCACCCCAGAGAGGTGACACGGGAGCACTTTTCCACCTCCTCTCCTGCAGATCCAGTGGGAAATCCTGGCTTGGGAGCCCTTGGCTGCTTGGAGAAGGTCCTTGGGTAAATGGTGAGTGACTGGGAAGACTCACAGCCTTTCCCTCACCTTCTCACTCTCTCCAAAGTCATGGAATCCTCGATTCCTCGGTCAAACTCAAACTGGTTGGTGGGTCATCCATGACCAGCAGCCTTGGAACAACCCAGGGATAGGGTGACTGTTTGGGTGCCATCCAGAGCCAGGGACAGCCCTCAGGAGGTGGCTGTGACACCTCCCAGGTGCCAGCTCTGCCTGGGCACTGGGGAGCCCCGTCCTGCTCCAGTTCTCCCTCCCCAGGGGCATCTGGCAGTGGGCAGTACCCCCAAATGTCTCATCCAGGACTCATCAGAGTGGGCACCACCCCCTCATATGTCCCTCCTGAGGTGTCTCCGAGTGGCTCCGGGGACCCGCGGGGCCCTTCAGGAGCATCACCATCCCCAGGGCCCGGGTCTGCCCAGGGCGGGCCACACGATGCTCCGGGAGGAAACCAGGCTGAGGAACTCCCTCAGAACCACCCCAGAACACCTCCCCGCCGCAGTGTGGACCCCTCAGGGCGCCCTCTGCCCCTCGGGGAGGTTCGGGGGGTCACCGGGGTCCCCCCGGGCCGGTGTCGAGGCCTCGCCTCGCACCGGAGGCCCCGGGGCGCCCGTTGCCATGGCAACCGCTGCGGGCCGCGAAGGCGGGCGTTGCCGCCTCCCCGCGGCGATTGGTGCGCGCCGCCGCCACTCAAGCGCGCCGGCCCCTCTGATTGGCGGGCGCCGGCGGGGGCGCTCGCGCGCCATTGGGCGAAGGCGACGCCACTCAAATCGCCCGGAGGGGCGTGGGGGGGGGGTCGACCCGCGGCTCTTCACGCTCCTCCTCCCTGATTGGCCCCGGCGGCGCCGAGCGCGAGGGCCGCCCGCGCGCCCATTGGTCGCCCCGCCTGCCCATCAGAGAGATGCCGCGAGGTGGGCGGGAGCAGCGCCCTTCCACCGCCTCCCCATTGGGCGACCGCTCCCTTCTGCGGGCGCTGATTGGCTGCGGCGCCGCTGCGGGGCGGGGCGGTGCGGGAGAAGGGAGGGAGGGAGGGGGGGGGGGGGGGGAGGCCGGGGGGGGGGGGGGGGGTGTGGCGGCGGCGGCGGCGGGGACGGCGCGGCGCTGAGGGGGGAGAGCAGCGGGCCCGGGCCCCGCGCGCGCGCGGGCGGGCGGGGCGGGTCACGTGGCGCGCGGGGAGCGGGTCACGTGGCGCGCGCGGGGTCTTAAAGGGCCCCCGCGACGGGTTTTGGGGAGGGGGGGACGAGTGGGGAGCACGTGGGGGGATATTGGGGAACCCCCCCCTTCATTGTTCGGGACTCCCCTTCCCTCCCTCATTGCTGGGACACCCCGTGCTCGGGCTCCCCCCTCCCTGGGGTCTGGAGCCGCTCCCCGGCCGGGGGGGGAGAGGTGGTAGCGGGGCGGGCCCCGGGGGGGGGTGTTTCGTATGGAAAAACCCCCCTTGTGGAGCGGCTGGAAAACTGGGCTTAAGGGGGGGGGGGGGGAGAGCGAAAAGGGAGCCGGATTCCTTGGGAGAGCGGGAAGTTGACGCGCCGGCCTAAGAATAGCTCGGGGAGGGGAAGCGCTGTCGCTGTCGAAGGTAACTCCGCTTCCCAGCGAGATTCCCTGGGTTTTGCAGGGAGAAGGAGGCGCCGGGGGAGCGGGCCCCGCGCCCGGGGTGGTGCCGCGGTGCGTTACCGTGTTTGCTCTCTGGTTACATTTCAGCCGCTGATGAAATCGCAGCCGGGAGCGGAGGAGTCTTTGGACCTTCCCATGGTCGGGACCTTTGACTCATAAAAGGCTCCTTCAAAAGGCTTTCGGGAGCAGAAGAAGGGGAAGGAGGAGCGGCCGCAGCAGGAGAAGGGGGAGAAAGGAGCAGAGCCCGACCTGGAGCGTGGGGAATTAAGGGGGGAGAGAGGAAGGCGCTGTATGTGGAGTTTTTGGACAGTAAGTCACATGGATTTTTATATCTCTGGGTGACAAAACACAAAGGGAAAGGGGAGGGTGGAGCTGCCGGGGAGAGTTGTTGCTTCTGGAGGTTGAAACCTTCGATTTCCTTGTTTTTTTCAACCGCCCGGCCCCAGAATTTTTTACAGGAAAACAAAGCCCTCCTCAACCAGAAATCCTTGACCGTTTCTAAACATCCTTGAAACTTTTATTTTGCTTTCTTCAGCGCTGCCCTGAACGCCAACCACCCCTTTATTTTGCTTGCTTGAAAGTGGGGCAGAGCAAAGCCAAACCCAACCAACCTGTTGGTGTGGAGGCTTCGCCCGCCGCCGGCAGCTTCTTGTTGTTGTTGTTGTTCCTTCCCAAACATTCCACCTGTTTTGTTTGTTGTTTTTTTTTCTCTTTTCCACCAGAGATGCTTTCTCTGAAGAAATACTTCACCGAAGGCCTCATCCAGTTCACCATCCTGCTCAGCCTCATCGGGGTCCGTGTGGACGTGGACACCTACCTGAATTCCCAGCTCCCTCCTCTGCGGGAGATCATCCTGGGCCAGAGCTCTGCCTACACCCAGACCCAGTTCCACAACCTGAGGAACACCTTGGACGGCTATGGCATCCACCCAAAGAGCGTGGACTTGGACTATTACTTCACCGCCCGCCGGCTGCTCAACCAGGTGAGGGCCCTGGACAGGTTCCAGGTGCCCAGCACCGAGGTCAATGCCTGGCTGGTGCACAGGGATCCCGAGGGATCCGTGTCCGGGGGGCAGCCCAGCGCCGGGTCCGGCCTGCAGGACGGCGGCAGCACCGAGAACGGGGTGAGGGAGAGCGGAGCAGAGCAGGGATTCGGGGAGGAACTGGAGGATTTGGGAGCCGTGGCCGCGCCGGCGAACGGAGACCTCACCAAGGAGGTAGGAAAGAGCTGCTTTTCCCGGGAGAAGCTCGGGGTGAAGCCGTTTAAAACTGGGATTTGGGAGCTTTCTGGTGCGCGCAGGGCTGGATATTGTGTGTGTTTGGCACTTAGGGAAAGTGTGTCCCTGCTCGGGAATGTCGCAATCCTGGCTCCTGGCTCGGTTTCAGCGCTCTGGGGATAATTCCAGGGGAAATTCCGGGGCGGTTTTTTTTTTAACCCCCCTACTTTTTTTTGTTTGTTTGATTCTGGGTTGAAAGGAAGAGTGAAAGGAGGGGGGGAAGGGGTTTTGGGGGCAGCAGCACTCTCGTGACTCGGTGTTGGGCAATGGAGCAATCCAGCTGGGAAATAAACAGGAGCAGTTGGGAAAGAGCCCCAGCCCAGGTGTGGAGCAGGTGGTTGGGTTACTTGGCTGGAGCCCGGCCAGGATTCATGATCCCTGGCTCAGTTTTCCTCCCAGCCCGGGTGGGGAGAGGTGAACTGGAAAGGGGGTTATTTCTCCTGCCCCAGCACAACCTTTGGGATGCAATTCCAGGCTCTTGGAGAGCTGCTGGTGTGGCTTTGGCGACGCCGCCTTCGTCCGGCGGCTCCGCGGTGTCGGGGGTGATCCATGTCCTTGGGTCTTCCCAGGATCATGGAGGGGGGTCAGTGGTGATCTGTGGCCTCAGGTCCTTCCATGGTTAGTGGCGATTCCAGACCTTGGGTCCTTGCAGGGTTGGTGTTGATTCCCAGCTTTGGGTCCTTCCAGGATCGTGGGGGGTGTGTCAGTGGCGATTCCCGGCCTCGGGTCCTTCCAGCGTCGCTCCAGCGTCTCCCAAGTCGTGTCTGGGCGTGGGAAGAGTGGAATTTGAGCCAGGCCAACCCTGTCCCTGCAGGAGGGGAGGGCAGCTGGATGCTGGGAGCTGTTGTCATGTGGCTCCGGCGCAGCAGCAGGCAGGGAATGGGAATGGGAATGGGGCGTGGGAATGGGTGTGGGAAGGGGTGTGAGCGCCGCAGAGACAAAGGTGATGCTTGCTTTGGGTCTGGGATTGATGGATGAGCAGCGGGATCCTTCCCTGGGAATGGTGTCCTGATTGGACCTGCAGGTTTTCCATGGGTTTTCCCACGGGGGTCTCCTGGCTCCGCTGGGCTGTGGGATTGAGGGGGAAAATCCCGTTCTGGGTTGGGAAGTGACCTTGGAGGTGTCAGGCGGTCACAGAACACGAGGCCAAACCTTCCCACCTTGTGCTGCTTCCCTGGGAGCGGAGAGATGCAATTCCCTGCCTCGGGAATGGCGAAGGATGTGATGAAATGCCTTGTGCAAGGTCACTCCTGGAAGGGTCCCTCGTCCTTCCCAAGGCTGGCATTCCTGGCCGAGGGCCTGGGGAGCCTTCCCAGTGCCGGGTGGGGAAACAGGGAGCTGATTTTAGGGAGGAACAGTGCGGATTTGGGAGGTGAAGGCTGGTGGCTCCTCTTTTCCAGAGGCCTCTGTGCAGCTGCATCCCGGGACGTGCTGGGAATGAAGCTCCCGGCCGGGCTGGGAATCTCCTCCAGGGCAGGGTGTGGAGATCCGCAGCTCCCGGGGGTTGCAGCATCCCTGCTCTTCCCGGGTGGCTCTTTTCCACGTTTTCCCCCCCAAGCCCCTGGATGGACAGGAGGGGAGGGTGCTGTTGCCAGGGCCCAGCTCCAGGAAATCCCGTCTGGCTCCCACGTCACTCCAGTCACACCATCCCCGTGCCCTCCTCCCCCGGGGCCAGCCAGACCCAACTCGCTGCTGCCACGCTCCAAACCAGCCTTGTTTTAAGGGCTTTTTGGGGATTCTTTTTTTTTTTTCCTTGGGTTTTGGTGTCTTTGTCCCGATCCTTGACTCCCTCCCCCAAACCTTTCCAAGGGGAATATCCCGGGAACTCTGCAGCTCCCTGGGAGGCACCTGCAGGGCCTGGGGCGGGTGCTGATGATCTGCAGATGGCTCCAGGGCCGGGCTTTAAATTTTTCCATGACTTTCCCTGGCACATTGCGACTCCCTGGGCCAGGCACGACCTTGCTTGGGAGTGGGGGGTGGGGTTGGAATATGGCTGATTATAAATAATTTTGGGAATGCCGTGGAGGGGCATTTTTTTTTGGGCGTTGCAGCTGCGAAATGCGGAAATACGGAATCCAGTTATTTTATCCCACGGATAAAACAAACAAAAAAAAATTAAAAATAATAAAAAAAAGCCCATTTTGATCCGGGGTGGCTGCCGGGTTTAAAGACAAAGCTGGGATTTAATCCCGGGCGCTTCCCTCTGCAGCATTGGGGGTGGGGAGGGCGGGAGGCTCCGTGCCCGCCCGGGGCCCGTTTCCACAACACCCGGGGATAAAAATACGCGGCCGCGGGACATGTGATGAGCTGCGGGGGCTCAGCCCTGCGCCCCCCCCTCCCCTTCCCCGGCGTGGGGGGGGATCTCCTTACACTTGGCCTTGGCTCTGGTTGTGGGGAGGGGGGGGCTGTGCTGTGGTTACCGCCGGGGTTTGCTGGGACGGTCTGGGGGGGGAAAAGGAGGGTGAAGAGGGTTTTGGGGGGTGTGAGGAGCGCCCGGGGGTCTCACTGGGGGAGTTGCGGGGGGGGCGACATTGGGGTCGCCCCCTCTGGGTCGGGGTGTCCCGGGGGAAGCAGCCAAGGTGACCCCGCGCTCTGTGCCCTCCCTGCTGCCCTCTCCACGCCCGGGGGGTCCCGGTTCCCCCCCTTCCTCCCCCAATTCCTCATTTTAGGGGGGGATTTCGGGTTTTTTTGGGGGGGGGGCGGCCCCGCTGCGCCAGGGCGGGGGCGTGGCCCGGTGGGCGCTGATTGGCTGAGCGGGCGGCCCCCGCTGGCGCTGATTGGCTGCGGCCACCGCCCCGGGGGGCGGGGCGGGGCGGAGAGGGCGTGGCCGGCGGCGCCGCATCCCGGCGGGGAGGGGCGGGGCTTGCGCCGAGGTGGGCGGGGCTTGGCGGCCGCCGCAGCCGGGAACGGGCGGGGGGGGGTTGGGAAGGGGGGGGGGGAGCCCCTCCCGGTCCCTCCCGAGCCCCTCCCGAGCCCCTCCCGGCCCCGCCGCAGCTACAGCAGCAGCATCCGCCGCACCGGGGGCGGGGGGGGCACCTGTGGCCGGTGGGGCGGAGCGGAGCGCGGTTCCCCCCCCCCCCCGCCGCTGCCGCCGCCGCCGCCGCCGCCCCCGCCCGCGCTGCCGGTGCGGGAGCGGCACCGCGCCCCGGCCAACCCGCCCCGCCGCCGCCTCCTCCTCCTCCTCCTCCTCCTCTTCCTCCCCCGGGGACCATGATCGGCGTGCGCCGCGGCCCGGGCGGCAGCTGGGGACATGAGAAAGGTACCGGGGGGGGGACACACCGGGTGGGGGGGCTGCGGGGACCCCGGGAAGGGTCCGGCGGCGGCGGCGGCTGCTCAAGTTGCATCAGGTGGGTGGGAATGCGGGGATTTTCCTGCCACCCCACCCCTTATGCAAATGGCCGGGATGGCACCACGGGCTGATGCAAGGCGGGCACGGCGCAGCCACCGCCGCGACGCGGGCCCGGGCGGCCCCCGCCGCCTCCCCCGGCGGCGGGCGGGCGGCCATGGGCGGCGGGGAGGGCAGGGCCGGCCATGCGGAGCCCGCAGAGCCGCTCCCGGGATCCCCGCGGGGCGCCGGAGCCCCGGCAGGAGCAGCGCGGGGCTCCCCGGGTGGGCTGCGGGCTGGGGTACGGGGTGGGGGGGGAACGGGGGAAGGGGTGGGGAGAGGGGGTGGGACCGCTGGGTGGGGACCCCCTCCCCGCCCCAGCGCAGGGGCTGAAGGAAATGTGGTCTGTCTTGCAGGACATCGATTTGATTGACATCCTGTGGAGACAGGATATTGATCTCGGCGCTGGGCGAGAGATTTTTGACTACAGCCACCGGCAGAAAGAGAGCGAAGTGGACAAAGAGCTGAGCGATGGGAGGGAGCGCGGGGACAGCTGGAGGAGTGCAGGGAATGAGGTCTTGGATAGAAACCTGCTAGTTGATGGAGAGACCGGGGAGAGTTTCCCTGCGCAGGTAACGCCCCCGGGCCGGGCTCTGCTTGGGGGCCTCCGTGGGAGCTGCAGCGGCAGGGTTTGGCCCAGGTGGGCGACAGGATTTGGCGCTGGCGAGGCCAGGGCAGGGCTGGCCCTGCGTGTCCCCGTGTCCCCGGCAGCCGCAGAGTCCCCTCGGCCCCGTGGCGAGTCCTTGCGTGGCAGGAGGCAGGGGAGAGGTTCTCCTCCGGCGCGTTCCCGTTCCCTGGAGCGGCAGGATGGAGCACTGGGTGGGGCCTCTGGCTCTTTTTTGGATGCGCTGTAATAAAGCCCTGCTGGAAGGAGCTCGTTCCCTCAGCACCACCTTCCCCCAATCCCGAGGCTACGATTCCCTGTGTTTCCTTCCCCCTCCAGGTGCCTGGTGCGGAGGATCAGACAGCCCTGTCCCTGGAGGAGTGCCTTAGGCTGCTGGAGGCCACCTTCCCTTTCGGGGAGAACTCGGAGGTGAGCGGCTGGGGCGGATCCAGGGGCTCTCCCTGCCTCACCCACCAGGATTTCCGTGCCTCCCGCATCTTTTCCCGCAGCAAACCGGGTTTGGCCGCTCAGGAGGCTCCTTGAAACCACCCGAGGAGGGGGTGGGCCACCGTTAATTAAAGCCTGCTGGCTTTGCTCCTCGTTAGGAGGAACGGGCAGGCCGTGGAGCAGCGGGAAGGGCGCCGGGCTGGGGGATGGCTGCAGTGCCGAGGCTCCAGCCCTGACTCCCCTCACGTGCTCAGTTCCCAGCTGCGGATGTCTCCGCCCTGAGCGAAGCCGTCCCCGGGCAGAGCCGGGCCCCGGGCGGCCCCCCCGCCCTGCTGTCCCCCCTCCTGGCCGAGAACGAGTCGCCCTTCGACCTGGAGCAGCAGTGGCAGGACCTCATGTCCATCATGGAGATGCAGGTGAGCCCCCGGGGGAGAGGGATGGGGAAGGGGCTTTGTCCCTCCAGGTGCTCCGTGGGTTCGGGTGTGGTGATGCCGTGGTGGCCCCGTGGCCCGTCTGCCGCAGCCGGATGGGGGGAGCTCCTCGCTCCCAGCCTGGAACATCGTCCTTCACGTCCCCACGTCTCTTCCAGGCCATGGAAGTGAACTCCACGACGGGCGAGGGCCTGTTCGGCGGCACCGGCGGAGACCTCCTGGCGTCCAACTACAGCCTGGCCCCCGGCACCCCCATCAACCAGAACGTGAGCCTGCATCAGGCCTCGCTGGGCAGCTGCTCCCAGGACTTCTCCCTCTTCAGCTCCGAGATCGAGAGCCCCTCCATGGCGGGCGGCTCGGCCCTGCTGCAGCTGGCGCCGGACAACTCCACCGGCCTCAACAGCACCTTCGGCTCCACCAACCTGAGCGGGATCTTCTTCCCGCCCCAGATGAACAGCACGGGCAACGAGACGGCCGGGCCCGAGCTGCCCGACCCGCTGGGAGGGCTCCTGGATGAGGCCATGCTGGATGAGATCAGCCTCATGGACCTGGCCATCGAGGAGGGCTTCAACCCCGTGCAGGCCTCGCAGCTGGAAGAGGAGTTCGACTCCGACTCAGGTCTTTCCCTGGATTCTGGCCACAGCCCCGCTTCTCTGAGCAGCTCGGAAGCCTCGTCCTCCTCGTCCTCTTCCTCCTCGTCCTCGTCCTCCTCCTCGTTTTCCGAGGAAGGGGCCGTGGGCTACAGCTCCGACTCGGAGAACGTGGACTTCGAGGAAGCGGAGGGGGCGGTGGGATACCAGCCCGAGTACAGCAAGTTCTGCCGCATGAGCTACCAGGACCCGGCCCAGCTCCATTACCTGCCTTACCTGGAGCACGTCGGCCACAACCACACCTACAACATGGCCCCGGGGGCCCTGGATCCCGAGGAGCCCAAACTGCCCGGCGGCGGCGGCGGCGGCAAGAAGAGCGGCGGCGGCGCCAAGGAGAAACCGTCCGAGTTCCTGGACAAGCAGATGAGCAGGGACGAGCACCGAGCCAGGGCCATGAAGATCCCCTTCACCAACGACAAGATCATCAACCTGCCCGTGGAGGAGTTCAACGAGCTGCTGTCCAAGTACCAGCTGAGCGAGGCCCAGCTCAGCCTCATCCGCGACATCCGCCGGCGCGGCAAGAACAAGATGGCGGCGCAGAACTGCCGCAAGAGGAAGCTGGACACCATCCTCAACCTGGAACGGGACGTGGAGGACCTGCAGCGCGACAAGTCCAAACTGCTCAGGGAGAAGGTGGAGTTCCTCAAGTCCATCCGGCAGATGAAGCAGAAGGTGCAGAGCCTGTACCAGGAGGTGTTCGGGCGGCTGCGGGACGAGCAGGGGCGGCCCTACTCGCCCAGCCAGTACGCGCTGCAGTACGGCAGCGACGGCTCCGTCCTGCTCATCCCCCGCGGCCCCGCAGAGCCACAGCCCCGGCGCCAGGACCGCAAGCAGAAGGACCGCAGGAAGTGAGGGGAAGCGGGAGAGAGCGGGGACACTTCACCACGAAGGGAGAGACAGAGAGAGAGAGAGAGAACTGGAGAAAGGCTGAGCCTGGAAGTAACTTTTAGAGGAACTTTCACGCCTTCTTATCCGATATATCTTCTCAACCACGCAACCGGGGGGGAACTGGCGCTGCCGGACGCTGCGGGAGCCGCGGGGGGGCCGAGGTTTTTTTTTGTGGGGGTTCTGGAGGGGATGGAGGAGGAGCCCCCCCCCCTCCTCCCTGCGCTGCCCCCGGCCCGGAGCCTCCCACAACCCCGGGATCCTTGGAGCGCAGGGACAGAGCTGGCAAAAACGCTGCTGGGGAGGTTGGCAGAGGTGGAAAAAAACAAAAAAACAAACTACTGTTAGGAACTGGCTTTAAGTAAGAAAAGAAATTTAAGCAGATGAACTTAAAAGAAAAAAAAAAAAACAAAACACAAGTTATAGGAGAGACGTTTTTCTGAACTTCCAAAGTTCTGTGATTTCAGGTAGTTGGATTTTTGGTTGTTTTTTTTTCCTTTTTTCTTTTTTTTTTTTTCTGTTGTTGTTTTTTTTTTCCTTTCCTTTTTTTCCTGAACCCGTTTTTGCCATCGGTGTGTGTGATTCAATCCGACTCAATTCCAGACGAACCAACATCCCTTCCCTAGACCAGACCAGTGCACACGTGGAAACACAAAAGTGGTGTGAGTTCCGTTAACCCTTTCCAGCCTGAGGGAGCTCAGAGTGGGGGGGAAAACACTCATTCCCAGCGTGGGGAGAACCAGCCTGGGATGGAAAACGTGGAGGAGGAGGAGGAGGAGGAGGAGTTGTGATGCCTCGGGGAGGGGGAGAGGGACTGGAGAGGGTTAAGGGAATCCAGCAGGATCCGTGTCCCCAGCACCCTCGGAGCACACAGAGCCTGCATGCCAAGCCTGGCTTCTCCCACTGACTGCCTGGGGAGGAATCTGGGGGGGCCTCCAGGGCCCCCAACAGCACAAGGGGAGCGGTGGAATCCCGATCCCAAGCCCAGCCCAGGCCGTGGGTTGTCACTTAGAGCCTTAGACGAGCTGTAGGTCCCTGTCCCGTAACCGCGCTTGGGTTTTTCGGGGGCTTCAGCCCCCCCCTTTTTTTCCTCCCCTTTTAGGGTCTAGAAGTGCTTGTGTTGAGTAAAAAAAAAAAACAAAAAAGGGAGAAGCCCAAACGTTCAAAGCTGCTCAATGTTCTCTTTGCCATAAAGATTCCGTGTAACCGTGTGATCACATTATAGGATTCTCTTCTGTCCCAAGGTGTTGGTCTGACTTCCTTTGTTTTCAGGAGGGGGGTGGGGGTAGTGCCTTGATCACTGTCTGGTCTCCTGCAGGGGAGACCATCCTAGAAGCTGTATTTCCATATAGCACAGCTGGGAGTGTTCGGACTTTACCAGCAACAGAAACGAAATGAAACAAACAAACAAACAAAACAAAACAAAACAAAAAAATGCTTAAAAAAAGAAAAAAAAAATGGCTTTTCCGAGCCAGTCCTGTGCACGGGATCCAGGGGAGAGGGAGGACTCGGGTGGTCACTCAAGGGAAGGACACCTGGAGAGGCAGGAGGGAGGCCTGGAGCAGCTGCCTGCTGGGCCACGTGTGTCCAAGGGCACTTTCTCTGGGTTTTTTGGGAGAAGCAGTTGGATCTGGGAGTGCACTGAGGGGTGGTTGGGACCTTCCCCGATTCCCGGGATCCTGACGCGTGAGACGAAGCACAAAGTGGTGGAGCTGTGGGTGTGGGGAGGTTGGAAGGGAGGCCCTGTGCGTATGTTTTAAATTATTTTTCCTCTTAGAAAACTTTTTTTTTCTTTGAATGATCTGTGAAACCTGTCAGGGAAAGAAGAGAGATTGTGTGAGCACAGGACAAAAATAAAAACGGCTTATTCACTGTACCACCCTCGGCTCCAGGGGTTTTTATTGGGTATTTGGATGATTGAACATGGCAGGGAAACCAAGCAGGGACCTTTTTTCCCCCCCCCGCAGTAGCTCCTGGCTCGGGGCTGGGAGCAGCTCCAGTTCCAGCAGTGGGTTGGGAGGAGGGAGTCGCTGTTGTCCTGCAGGGGATGGATGGAAAGAGAAGGAAAAGGAAAAGCTCCTCCTCTGCCTCAGCTGCTTCCTTCCTTCCTTCACAGCAGGGTCTTCCCAGAGAAATCCAAGGAAAAACGTGCTCCTGGTCAAACCTGCAGGTCTGAGGCCAAGTCCAATCCCTGTCCTTGGAATGTGGACTCCCAGGACACGGTGTCCTGTTCTCCCGTTGGCCTTGGCAGCTCCAGGGGCTGTTCCACACATCCCACCTTCCCTGCAGCTCTTGGATGTGGCGTTGGAGACTGAGACAAAGTTTATCCAATCCTGAGGGTGTTTCTATCCCAGATCCCTTTCCCTGTGGGATAAATCCCAGCCAGGAGTGAGGACACCAAACCCTCCATCTCTGGAATGTTTCCAGCTCCTCAATCCAGCCCCTGGGGGGGGCATTTTGGGTGGTGCTGGGGGTCCCTCCAGGAGACCCCACACAAGCCAGGGATGGAAAGCTGCTCCTGGGAATTGCTGGTGTGGAAAATGGCATTTTGGATGCCATCCTGGTGCCAACACACCCCGTCATCTCCGTGTATTTTGTCCTTGCAGATCCCTTTCTCCAGGGGTTTTCATCCTCCCTTGGCCAGACACGCCCAGAAAATCCGGCCAAAATCACACTTCCAGCCCCACTCTGCTCCCCAACAGCCTCCCACGGGTGTTCCCGTGGGCCAGGTGCCCTTTTCCTGTGGATCAAACCTCTCCCAGTGGGACTGGAAGGATCCATCTCCTCCTGGTGCTGCTGCTGAGTCCAGGCCAGCTCAGCCAAGGGGGATGAGGAGCATTAAATCCACACTCTGAGGTGCTTCCCCTCCCTCTTCCTGGGCTCCAGGGGATTTATTCCAGACATTCCTTCAGGGGCTGGGTTAGAAGAGCCCTCAGGGATTCCCCCACCCCTGTGATGGTGTCAGGAGGTCCCAGCCCTTCCTGAGGGGGAGCAGAGGAGGGACAGGAGGGTCTGGGGAGGATCCACTGCTGTTCCCAGGCTCTGCCTCTGCCCCTGTGCCCACACGGGTCATTCCCGGTGCACAAACAGCCCAGGGAATCCATGGGGAGGCTCCCAAGGGTGTCCCAGCCCTCCGAGGCTGGCAGAGCCCGCTCTGGCTCCCTGCCCGTGCCCAGCCCAGCGTGGGGAGCTCAGCCAGTCCCTCCCCTGGGCTGGTCCTCCCCGCTCGGGCCCCCTGCCAGCCCACACTTTGATTCCCAAGCAGGAATCGCTTCCAGCGGGGCCTGGGAGCTCTGATCCCGCTCAGAGCCCTCGGATCCAGGGTCCAGCTGCTCCTGAGCCCCCAGCCCGGGCTCCGTGGGGACACAGAGGGGCTCCCCTGCCCTTCCCTGCCCTGCTCCGGCTCCGACCTGGAGCATCGATCCCGGGGGGAACCCCCATGGATCTCCCCTGGTCACGAGGGGATGTTTTCCCGGGCCTGGGTTTCTCAGGAGGGGCCACAGCAGGTCCCCAAAATCCTGCAGCTCAGAGCAGAGCCCTCAGAGCCCTCAGAGCCCTCAGAGCCCCCCTCCCACCGCCAGGATGGAGCAACCGGCAGATTCCAGCGACCTGGATCGATCTCCCGGAGCTCCCCCGGGACCTGCAGCCTCTGATGCTCAATTAAGTGGACGTTACCCCGGCCCTCTCTGGTGATTAATCCACCTTTAATTGCTGCTGCTGCTGCTGCTGCTGGGCCAGGGCAGCATCTCCTTGTCCTGCCGGGTACAGGCTGTGCTGGCACAAATAACCTGGATTTCAACTGGGTCCCTCAGGAATTCCACGGCCCCTGTTCCACCCAAAACCTTCCTGCTGCATCCAAAACCTTCCTGCTGCATCCAAAACCTTCCTGCTCCATCCAAAACCTTCCTGCTCCATCCAAACCCTTCCTGCTCCATCCAAACCCTTCCTGCTCCATCCAAAACCTTCCTGCTCCATCCAAACCCTTCCTGCTCCATCCAAACCCTTCCTGCTCCATCCAAAACCTTCCTGCTCCATCCTGCACGCCTGGAAACACCAGAACCTCCGAGTGAAGAACCATCAGCCCCCCTCAGGAACCACCATCCCACTCCAGAACCCAGGACTGGCTCTGCTCAGGAGCTCAGGGCCTTCAGCACATCCACACCAGGGATGGAAGGAGCCAAACCACCTCCTGCCAAAGCCCTAAAAACCCCACCAAAACCACCAGGTTGGGGTGAGAAGGGAATTAAAGGCCACTTACCCACCTCTGGAGCCGGATCCTGGCCGGGAACACCCTCCAGCAGCATCTTCCTGCACCAAAGCACGTCCCAAACCACAGCTGCTCCTCCTGTCTCCACAGCTCAGGGCTCTGTTTAAACCTCTCTTCTCCAGGTGGAAGCCAAAATAAATCAGGACCAGCCACTCCAGAACCTGCTGCCACCTCTTCCAAAGCTCCAGGGGAGCCACCAGCTCTCCTGGAATCCAAACTAACCCAGCTCGGGGAGCACCTTCCTGCTCTGCCCCTCACGCCCAAAGAGAGCTCGGAGGAAGGAGCCGAGAAGGTAAAAACAAACAAACAAATTAACCAAAAAAAAAAAAAAATTAAAAAGAAAAAAAAAATCAGGATTATAAATCTAAAATTTTATTGAGACAAAAAACTGACAGAGCTCGGTATGAAGTTAAAATCCAAACACGTACTTTACATTTAAACGACGTTTTCACAGAAACCTAAAAGCACACGATTCTTTTTAAAAAAAGGTTTGTACAATGCAGGTCTAAAGAGAGAGAACCGCCCCAAGGAGGAGGTGCCAGGGCTCTGGTGGGGCTCGGGACTGACTCCCCCCACAAAAAAATTAAATAAGTTTCAGTATTTGTAATAAATCTGAGGGTTTTTTTATGTTTTTCAATCGAAGAAAAAAAATCAAACCCCTCCGAAGGTTTCGGGGCTTCTGGCACCGACCTCCCCCCAAACCACCTCTCTGGGGACGAGATGGGATTGAGGGGGGTTGGTTTGGTTTGGTTTTTTTTTTTTTCCTTGTGCTGCTGTTGGGTTTTTTTCCTCTCCCTCCCCTCAGCTCCCTGTGCTGCTTGGCTGGACACAACAAATCACGGGGACAAAAAAGGAACCAGAGTGCTCAGAAATCTCTTTATCCCCCCTCCCCACCCCCATAATTTTGTTTTTTGTTTTTTGTTTTTAATGAGAAATAGCACCTTAGAACGGAAAGAAGGGTAGAAAAGGCTCGAAAAGGGTTTAAGATCCATCCCCCTCCCTCCCACCCCCCCTCATACAATGCATGTGTCAGGAACTGGCAGTTCTGCTGCAGGACAATTACAGAATCACAAGTTTGCATTTTCACAAGTCTCCCCCCCCCCCCCCCCCCCCCCCCCCCCCCAAACACCATCACCCCCCCCCCCCCCACCCCCTTAAAAATCGCTCGCAGGGTTTTGAGGATTCTCAGCTCTGGAGATTTTGGACATTCACAGTTTCAGTCTCGTGTCTCTGTCCCTGTCTCCCCAGTTCTGTCAGCAACACTGGGCTTTTTTTTTTTGTTTTTTGCTCCCCATTCCCCTTTTTTTTTCTTTTTTTTTTTTAATTTTAATTTCTTTTTTTTTTTTAATTTTTTTAATTCACGTTGTTTAAAAAAAAAAAAACGAAACCCCAAACAAACAAACCAAAAAAAAAAAAAAAGAGAAGATCTGGAAACGATCTGGAAACGATCTGGAACGTTGTCACCAGACCTCACATCTCCCTCCCCAGTGAACGAGACTGATTTCCCCACTTCCCTCCCTCCCAAAAAACCTTTACACCAGTAAATGGCAAAAGAAAACAACAAAAAAAAAAAAAGAGGAGAAAACAAAACAAAACAAAACAAAACAAAACAAAGCAAAATAAAAGAGAGAGACCTACACACATGCTACGGCTTAAAAATGCAGAGTTAACACTAGTGGGAAGAAGGCCGTGGGTTTGCTGAGATGGTCTTTGAAGATGAAGCAGTATCCACCTGCACCCCCTGGATCCCCAGCCCACCCATCCCAGTGATAGTCCTTCATGGAAGGGGCTTTGCTTCCACTCCCACCAGCTGCTTGGAAACAACAACCCCTCCCAAAAAATCCCTCCCCCTCTCCGATATCCCCCCCTCCCCCTTGTTTTTCCCTCCCCCTCCGAATTGAGCCGGGCTGGTTGGAATCTGGACACAGCAGGAAAAGCTGCACGAAGGGGTTGGAGCAGCTGCAGGGGCACAGAAACCATACTGGTCTCTTCAAAGGGCACCTTCTCCGGCCGTCTCCACGTCCCACCCGAGCAGAGCCGCCTCCAATCCCCTCCTGCTCACACCCCACAGTTCCGCATCTTTCCACCAAGGGCCGCCCCCAGAGCGGGGACAGAGGGTTTAGTTCTTGTCCTCCTTCTTGTCGTCGTCCTCGGAGGGGTAGGAGTGCCATGTCAACCTCTCCTCGTAGAACGAGATCACCACCTGCGGGCAGTTGATGTTGGCCTCCTTGGCCGGCACCAGGTCGGCCTCGTCAGAGTTCTTCCTGCAAGGGGAGCAGAGAGGGGAGTCAGGGAGGGGTGAGAGGAAGTGTGGGAGGGAGAGGGAAGTCAGGGAGGTGTGGGAGGGAGAAGGAAGATAGGGAGGTGTGGGAGGGAGGGAGAGGGAAGTCAGGGAGGTGTGGGAGAGAAGGGGGAGTCAGGGAGGTGTGGGAGGGAGAGGGAAATTGGGGAGGTGTGGAAGAGAGAGGGAAGTCAGGGAGGTGAGGGAGGGAGGGAGAGGGAAGTCAGGGAGGG